CATTGTTTAGAAATCCTCCTAACCTGTATTTGATAACCCAAGAAAACATAGTTTCGGTTACCCAAGGATGGATTATATTACTTATGAAATTTCTGTTGAGCTTCTCGTCTTTATCCTGCTCCACAGGTTCTGGGTGCTGCCATATGATAACATATCACATCACCTCTAGATGATTAGGCAGAAGTTTTTTTAATCAAGTTCATGTGTTATTTTTTTAGCAATTGTGATAAAAGGTAAGGTATCGGAGAAGTCAGAAACTAAGAACTTAAATAAGTTGTTTTCATTAGGAATGAAATTCTCAAAAAAATCATACACAAATAAACTATTCACAAAACAGAAACAGACTCACAGACATAGAAAACAAACTTATGGTTACCAAAGGGGAAAAAGAGGAGGGATAAATTAGGTGTTTGGGATTAGCAGATACAAACTACTACACACAAAAGAGATAAACAAGGTCCTACTGTATAGCACAGGGAACTGTATTCAACAGCTTGTAATAGAATATTTAATGAAAAAGAATATATGTAACTGAATCACTATGCTGTACATCAGAAACTAACACAACATTGTAAACCAACTATACTTCAATTAAAAAACAAAAACACAACAGCTCCTCATATGTAATCATATAGGCTACAGTTCCTCCACTTAGATTTGTGCTTAAAGATTTTCACTAGATTCTTCAGCCACTTATTTCTTATAGATGAAAATAAGAGAGAAAAAGCTGACCTTAGAAACAGCAGGGCAGGAGTCTCTTCTGACTGTTTCTATTCCTTTTGCATCAAATACTGGGTCCTTTTGATCCAGTGTTTCATACATATAACCCACATATCTCTTTTTTGTTTGTAAGACACACGGCAAGTAAACCTGTGGCAAAATTAATAAAATGTCTCTCAAGAACCAATTTTTCCTAGCCACAAATATCTTATTTTTATATGCTTTTCTCTTTTTTTAACCTGATGTCAGTTATCAAAAAGTTCTAAACATGGCTTAGGGCCCAACAAATTCATGATACAATACTTGGATGTGAAAGCACACAAAGTGAGTTGTTTCTGCTTCCTCACCACACATGCATTCCTTTACCTGCACTATCAGTTCTGCTCCTTCCTCAGCCGATACTGTTCTCTCAAAGTCATCAATCATATCTTTTAAACAATTAAAAAATTAAGTAACACATATGGTACAAATTAAAAAGTTCTAAGAGACCAGACAATGAAAAGTCTATCTTTCCCTCTGTAGGGATTTCTTCTATATTCTTCCAAAGATATTCTATGTAAGTACATGTACTTACACGCGTAATGGTAGCTTACCTTCCACTTCATTCTGCACTCAGCTTATTTTATTTAATAACTTTTCTTGGAGAGCATTCCATCCTAGTACAGAGGGCTCATTTTGTTTTGTAGAAACAAAGCAGTCCATTTTGTGAGGGTATTATAATTTTTGTAACCAGTTACCTACTATGGGTCATTTAGGATGTTTCCAATCTTTTGGAATTACAGTCTTTCAGTGAACAACCCTGCATGGATTAATTTGTAGGATAAATTCCTTGAAGTGGAATTCCTGGATAAATGGAATTCATTCAGTCCTTTTTATGTTACCAAATTGGTCCTTTCCTCTGCCCCCAAGCTTTATCAGTAATCACACTAAACATAAGTGGTGTAAAATGGTGTAAAAAGTGTAAAAATGGAAATAGTGTAAAAGGTCATAAGGATCAGATTAGATGTGATCAAGAAGACTGAGTCAATATGCTTTCTACTAGAAATCCATTTTAAATATAAGGACATAGGAAGGTTAGAAAAAAATACACTTGCTAACACTAATCAAAATAAAGGTAGAGTAGCTATATCAATATCAGAAAAAGTAGATTTCCAGACAAGGAATATTATCAAAGATAAAAGTATCAATTAATCAAGAAGATACATAACCATAAATGTATAGGCACCTATTATTAAGAAAATTTCAAAATACATGAAATACAAATTGGCAGAACTACAAGGCAGAGAAAGGCAAACTATGATTATACTTGGAGACTTTAACAGCTCTGTCTTAGAAACTGACAGAAAATCAAACTGTTGTTATTGGCTTCAACAACACTATCAATTAACTTAACCTAAATGACATTATAGAACATTGTACCCAATGACCAAAATATATTGAGCTTTTCAAGGTCACATGGGAATATTCACTAAGAGAGACCATATGCTAGACCAAACAACAAACTTTAATAAACTTAAGAGCACTGAAGTTATACAGACTATGTTCTTCGACCACAGTGGAATTAAATTAGAATAACAAAAAGATTTCTGGAAATCCTTAAATATTTGTAACATAAACAACACGCTTCTAAATAACCTACAGTCATTATCATTGAAGCATATGAATAATGAAAGTACAAGATATCAAAATTTGAAGTTAAAGTGTCTTGAGGGAAATTTACCTTTAAATGGTTATATTAAAAATATTTATTTAAAATAAATGATTCAAGCTTCTAAATTAAAACGACAGGAAAGAAGAAGCAAACTAAACCCAAAGTAGGTGTAAGGAATTAAATAATAAAGAGTATAAATTAATGAAACTGTTCTTCAAAGAGTTCTATAAACAGATAGAATGATCAAGGGGAATAAAAGAGAAAAACATAAATTATCACCATCAAAAGTGAAGGGAGGGATGTCACTAAAGATTTTATAGATATCAAAATCACAATACGGAAGTATAAATAACTCAAGCTAATAAATTTAACAATTTAGGAGAAATGGACCAATTCCTTGACAAGTTTTAAAAATGACATGAGAAAAACCTGAATAATATATATTAAAGATATTTAATTTGCAATTGAAAATCTCCTCCCCTCCCATAAAATTTCAGGACCAGATTGCTTCACTGATAAATTTTATCGACCATTTAAGAAAGAAAAAACTGTACCAATCTTACATACTTTTTCTTTCAGAATATAGAAGAGAGAACATTTCCAACTTATTTTATGAGATCAGTTTTTTTTTGTCCAAAACCAAAGACAACACAAGGAAAATAAAAACCTAACCATCAATATTCATCATGAACATATGCATCACAATTCTTAACAAATATTTGTTTTCTTTGAGAAGGTTTACAGTTTTCGCTTTTATGTTTAGGTCTGTGTTCTATCTCAGATAAACTTCCATGTCTGGTGTTATTTTCTAAGGACACCATGGGCTTCACTTTGCCAGGCAGGCTGAGTGTCTGCAGCATTACACAGCTAGTTCTAGAATAGCACTCATCCTCACTGTTTTCTAATCCACCCCACCCCCTCCAGTTAGAATGCCCATCCTTCAGGGCAGATACCATATCCAAATCCTGTCTGAATCTCTTCTACCACAATTCTTGCTTTAGAGTCAGTGCACAATAAACACCTGGGAGTCATCTTGGACTCTTTTCTCTCTTTACCTTTTCCACACCCATTCTCCTACATCAATCACTTCTAACTCCTGCTCGTCCTTCTTTCTCAGTATCTCCTGAATTGTCATTTCTTTATTTTTCACTAGTTCAGGTCACTGCTTCAGGCTGTAGAGGTTGCAAGAGGCATCCTATCTTGAGATTCTCCTCTTCTCAATTTCTGTTCATACCACTGCAAGTCCAGTCCTCCCCAAATAGCTCTGATCATGTCATGCTCTTGTTTAATAAACTTTCTTGAATAAAGTTTAATACTTTAGCTTGGCATGCAGGACAGTCTGTAATCCGGTCTTTATTTTTCCAGGTTTCCCTCCTGCTAATCTGTATTCCCATATTGTGCATTCCCAATTCCATATCTTTCCACATGCCATTTTCTTCTGTGCAAAATGACCTCAGTGCCATGGCTGCCTACTGAAATTATAACCATTTTCTGAGACACAGTGCAATATTACCTCTTACATGGAGTCTCCCCATCCAGCCTAAGAGGACACATACCTCTTTTTCTTACCATGCTTAGAAGACTGCTCTCTATGTTTACAATAAAAAAAATTGCTTATATACAGTTCTAATCTTTCCTTTCAGATTACTGGCTTTTAGAGGGCAGGAGTGTGTCTTATGCTTCTTTGCATTCCACACCTTTCCTAGCTCAGTATCTAACGTAAAGTGAAAATAGTCAAAGGTTCTTGTGGCAGACTGCATTTTCCAAAGAAACAAGATCTCCTATCCCACATGGCCTTCTTGTAAGTGTGACTCTGACATTCTTCCCATTAAGAGATGGGGGCCTGTGTTCTCTCTTAAATTTAGATAGACTATGATGCTATGTGACTTGGAGACTAGGTCATAAAAAGCAAAACTGCTTTTGTTTGTTTCTTTTGCGGTGTTCATTCCTGGAACTCAGCTATCATGCTGTGAGGAAGAACAAGTCGCCCCAGGGAAAGGCCATGTGTAGATGTTCCAGCTGACAGCCCCAGCTGATATGCCAAACAGCAGCCAGTATCAACCCCAGACGTGAGAGTGGGCAAGCTTCAAGTGATTTCAGTCCTTAGCTGTCAGCTGGGTCACTCTGGCCTTTAGATTTTCCTATTTGAGGACTAAGACAGTGTGGAGCAGATGGGAGCCATCCCTGCTGCACCCTTTCTGAATTCCTTACCCATGAAATCTGTAAGCATAATAAAAATGAAGCTTGTTTTACACCATTAAGTTTGAGGTTACACAGTGATAGGTAATTGGAACAATCTTTTCCTTTCTTTATATAAAGACATTACTAAAAAATTTGAGAAAATTACACAAAACTAAGGGAGAAATATTTCAAAATTTAATACTTTCACTGATCTGTGTAAAATTACTGATTCTGAATTCTGTATTGAAAAAGTCAGAACTCTCTCGAAGGCATGTGGATTTTGTAGTGATTATCAGTATTAAATTTCTCTTACCTTTTCAAACTTCAATTTCACTGGTTTAGGATTGGTAGCAGTTACAGCTTCAGCAATTTCCTGACCAATCTTAAAAGACTGCTCCTTAGTGGCTCCCTTCAGTAGCACAAACATACTAAGAGCATTAAAAATAGAGTAAGGTAATAAGAAAGTCAACAAAAAATTTTTATCAGTAGTAATTTTCCTGACTAATACTCTAATAACAGAAGAAAACCTTTTTCCTCCTTACTCTTCCTTATAAAATTGCGTCCTGTCTAAGCTTTCTTGTTTTATCACACTTCCCTTGTGTATTCATGGTCTCCCTTATTACAGATCTTTAAGACATCCAGTATTTCTAGTTTAGCTACACACGGACCAGCTATCACAGCTGCCAAGAAGGTCTTGGGTCATTCCTAGACACTTACAGCTTTCCATGACACATAATTATGTCAATCAAAAAATAAAATGTGATCATAAAGAAATGGAAAATTCACTTGTGATATGGGAGGAAATTTCCTTCCAGAACTAACTTAAAGAAGAACACATGTATATTTTGTAAAATATGTTCACTGAAGAACAGTTAGAAAACAGAAAAAGGCATCAGAAAACAGCCATCTATAATCTCACCACTCAGAAAAGTCATTATAAACATTCTATGTATATCCATAAATTTTTCCTCATTTGGGATCACAAATCAGAGTTTGATAACCTTCTCTTCTCATTTAACGGTATATTGTGAATATTTTTCCCATGTCACTTAATTCTTTTACATCATTTTGACAGTTATACTATATTTTAATGTATGGATATAGCATAATTTAACCAAACTCCTATCATTGAAAATTTGTCATTAAAATTTTTTTTCTAGTATTTCACATGTAATAATAATTTGGCACATTCCCTATGTCCTTAAAATAAATTCCTAGAAGTGAAATTTCTGGATAAATGGTATACACTAAAAATATTTTTTGAAAGATAATGTCAAACTCAATTCCAGAAAGATTTTTTTGTTGTACAATCCCGCCAGCAGTATATGCAGGTCAAGAGGGAAGGACTTTTTTTAAAAATCCTTTTAAAGAAATGTACATGTTCTATTTTTTCCCCTGAAGTTTAGTTCATACTTTATTTTATTTATTGTATTTATTTTGTTTTGGGGAGGGGTAATTAGGTTTACTTATTTATCTTAATGGAGGTACGGGGGATTGAACCCAGGTCCCCGTGCACATGAAACACGCACTCTACCACTGAGCTATATACCCTCCCCAAAGGATTTCTAACGTGGATTAAAAATTCCAATACAAAAAATACTCAAAAATAACTGATAAAATAAACATATTGGCATTTTTTCCCTAAAAGAATCCTGTTAATTTAGTTGTGTTTTTTCAAGAATTTTATATAATATACAGTACATACTTATGTCTAGCTTCTTTCATTCAGTGTATTTTTGAGATACATCCATATTGCTGAAGTAAAGTAACTGGTTCCTTTTTATTGCTGAATAGTATTCTAATGTATGCATATGCCACATTTGTTGATCCATTCACCCACTGATGAACCTTTGGACCATTTGCTGTTTTGGACTATCAAGAATAAAGCTGTGGTGAAGATTTGCATCAAGTCTTTGTGTGGACCTAAGTTTTCATTTCTCTAAGGTAAATATTAGGTAAATATTAAGTAGAACTGCTGAGTCATATGCCAGGGGTGTGTTTAACTTAAGATATAACTGCCAAATTTTTAAAATATTATGCTTAAAATGTTCAGATGCAATGACGAATTAAACTGTCCACACTCACATATCTATAAAGTCCTAGAACAGGCCAAACTAAGCTGCGGTGATTGCAGAAAAGTGGTTGCCTGGGGGTAGGAGATGAAAGCGAGGGACTGACTGCAAAGGAGCATGACAGAACACTCCGTGGTGATGGAAATGTTCTCCATCTGACAGCAGTAGCAGCTGGTTATATAGGTCTGTACATTTGTATACTGAACTACACACTGTGCACTGCTTTTGTTAAAAATTATACCTAAATAAAGTTGATAAAAATTAAACATCTGTATACTCTATATCTTAAAAGTTATAGGGTATATATTTGAGATTTTACCTAGTAGTGTTAGTGGGTTTACTTGAGTCTGTCTATGCTGTTTGGACCAGTTTTATTTGGAGCTAAGCTTCAAGAGAGCTGGCCAGGATTAATGGAAATTTTTGCTCACTTAACAGAATGGAGGTGACTGGCCTACAAAGAGGACTGTTTCAAAATAACTTTCTATTTGTCTGTCACTGATGTTTTTAATCTAGCTGAATAACCTTTATCTTTGGGTTGATAGATCCAAGTTCACATTTACAGCAGTGATTGTCACGTGGAGGGGATGTGTAGTTGAGTGGGAATATTAGAATTCCCTAGGAAGCTTTCCTCAATTATATTTTGAAGAATTTCCCAAGAGATTCTTTTGGTTCTCTACCACCTTTCTGCTACCCTGGAACTGTGTGTCTTGTCAAATGTCCTTCCCTATCCTGCCTGAGAATCACTACTAATAGAGAGCTTCAATAACTGATGGGACTAGGTCTACCCTATGAGGGTGGGATAAATATTACTGAGAACCACTATTATTATAAAATAATTGTTTGCATCACTATAGTATAAAAATACAGTATGTTTATTATACTTTCTATGTGGATAATAATCTGTAACTACTTTAGAAAGAGAAACATCCTTCTAACAGAGTAATTTTTTTGGGGGGGAGTAGGAACCAGTGTAATGTCTAGTCGTTATTGGGAAGAAGAAACTTGACAGCACATCTTAAGTGAGTGCAGGGACTCAGTGGGCCAGCTGGTGGGGCTCCAGCTTGTAATGGGCATCGCTGGGTCTCGCCTTTGTGCAGCCAGAACCAGATGACGGCACTGTTGTCTTCTTCACAGACACAGCCCACTATTCACTTGTTGGTGATGGAGGGGACTAAATTAGGGTCTTCCTTGGTATCTGAGACTGCCTTTGAGGCTAGCATATTGCATGGGTCCAGTCCCTTGTGGGCAGCCATCATGAACTCCCTCTCCAGCCTAGTAGCCTGTTCATCGTCAGTAGGAACACTGCTTCCAGATGCCATAGAGCGCACTGTGGTGTCTACATTGGGACAGGGCCTGTGCAACCAGTGCTCCACGGAGTAACCTTGAAGCCATCACACCCTAATAGATTAATTTTGATGTTTCAGTAACCAATCTTCTTTAGCTAGACCCCAAGATTCATAAAATCAGCAGTCCTGAAACTAGAGGGAGGCAATGGCCATTCACCATTATTTATCAGATTTCCTTCATTTTGACAATGAGACAACTTGAGCCTCATAGAGGCAAAGCGACCTTTTGATGTCATGCAATCAGCTAGAAGTATAGCCGGAAAGAGAATTCAGATCTCATTCTTAGTTAAGAACTCTTTCCCTCCACCAAGCATTATCTACTATCCCTAGAGCAGTGTTTCTCAATTTGTTACCATTATTGCCCTACTCACCAAAAAGGTTAAAAGTAAATTTAACAAAAACTAATTACTAAGGAATAAAATTTTGTTGGGTAGGGCTGAGCTTTGTGGGGCCAAAACCCACTGTCCTATCTAAGCGTTTTTGGCTGCTAAGGGCCAATTTGTACCCTGTTGGGGCAGTACTGTTACCATTGAAAATGTATGCTCTAGAGTGAATTGCCCTCATACAGTAAATTTCAATAAACATTTGGTGAATGAATTAGAGACTGAACAGTGATCACAAGTTCTTATGATACTGCAATTAAATTTCCTTGACTGGAATCATAAAAGAGATATGCCAATTTATGGCTCCACTGCTGCCTAGCAGGGTGACCTTAGACAAGTTTCTTATCTCAGGGGAATTGCTCTTAAGCAGCACCTGAGACCGTGCCTCCTAGGGTTTTCTCCCAACCACGTGAAAACTCCTAACAGTCCTCTTCTAGCTCTGACGTTCTGGGTCTGTGTTTTTTGGTTTGTTTGAATCCCTAAAAATCTTAAAGGCTAAACAATGTTAACTATAATCAGAATCATGTCAATTTCTTTTTTTTTAAACTTTTTTTTGAGTTATAGTCATTTTACAATGTTGTGTCAAATTCCAGTGGAGAGCACAATTTTTCATTTATACATGAACATACATATATTCATTGTCACATTGTTTTTTTGCTGTGAGCTACCACAAGATCTTATATATATTTCCCTGTGCTATACAGTATAATCTTG